TGGCAACACCACCTCCTCCCCATTCGTTGACTGTGGTGAAGGTGACTTGAAATGATGCATACGTGAAAGTTCTGAAAATAAAGGCAAGGCAAATTTAGGGCAAAATGGAATCCATTCAAAACAATGAAATTTGGATAAAGGGATTGGGAAACAGGCCTCATCAGCAGAAACAGCAGTTGGGCTAGAAAATGGAGCGGTCGAAGTTCTGCGCTTCTCCATGAAAGGACTTCAGTGCGTCTTTGACAAGTAAGAAAGTGCTGTTTTGTTAAGGCACCTTCGTGCTGCACTTCCACGGCCTAATTAGCACAAGCTTCTGTGCAAATGACACAAATTATTTTCCACACCAAATGCACGCCTCTCCGCTATCAGCACTTCGCAGCATGAAGGGCGGCCTTTTCTCCGTGACAAGTTCCTTGCATGCTCAAAAGGCAGCACTGCTGGTGATGATGTTTTCCACAATTCTTGGAGACATGCTTACGACTGGTCCCTCCAAGGACTGGCACTAAGCGCCAGCTGTTTGACGCAGTTAGAACAAGAAGACTTTGCGAAACGAGAGTTTTACATCTTGCGAGAGAAATGTCACATTTGGCGCCACCTTCCGGCAGTCATTCAAGGATTCAGTTCGTGTTACAACCTTCCCTTTCCCACCTCCCATAAACTCCTCCCATGTCAGATGGACAGAAATGGAAAAACATTTGCCATTTTCTTTACCTTAAAATGTTGTTAAGTTGGCACTACAGCCGGATGCGTTGTGTTTTTAGATCAATTTGTGCATCACAATTATCGTACCAACATCATGAGGTGCTACTCACAAGTTATGAGCAGTTGCTAGAGGCGGCAATGGTATACTGTTTGCATTTAAATGGTTGCGAGGTGGCAACTGCGGTCGTATTAAAAAGCGACACAAAATTAACGTTGCAGAAGAAGCTCTTGTGACTGCTACATCTACATTCGCGTTTTTGTTGGGACGAACTCGGAGCAGTTTTACAATTCACTTCCCAAATCAGGTGATCGCACAGCTGAAGTCGAGCTTGACGAGTGCACAAAGGCTGGCTGGGCCTTACTGTGTGTGCCCAAGGACTGCCGTGCCAAAGACTGTCACAGTCCTTCATTCCACCAAACACATGCCTAGTGGGCCTTCCAACGTCTAGTCATGACTTTATTCTTCATTCACTGAGCCACTGTATCTTCTCAAC